TTTTTTTTTTTTTTTTTTTTTTTTGGCAATTTCTGAGAGCTGGGACACGTGCCCCTAATTTAAATTTGGCAATAGCGTAGGAAAAACACATGATTAGATTTAGCTATGGCATATGTAGCTATATATATATAACATATATGTTGCTACATACGCAAGCTTTTGGTATCGCCAATTGGCTATAACTTTGCTTTGACCCTCGCCGATGCCGGCAAACCAAAATTTGTAGTGCTTCCCCAAGTATATAATCATGTAAATACATACATACATATATATGGGTGTGTATATATATACTTATATGTATGTATTTACACAATTATGTATAATTTACGCATTATGTGGGATAGAACTTTCACTTACAGCGCAGGCAACAATAAACGTAGCGATCAAAACAGAAGACGAATGAAGGTGCGAGGAAACAGTCAAAGAACCGCACTCGATGGCTGTGCTGCAGAGACTGAGAGACGTCGACTTTCAGCTGGCGCTAGGAGCGAGAATAGGAATGGGCAGCGATTGCAGTGACATAAAGCATACAAGAAAATAAGCAGAAGAGTGTGTATGCGTGACTAGGAAATACCCCCTACTTGATAAGATATGTATATCGTTTTGTTATTTTATTTATCTACTTTTTAACATTACAACTAATATCAAATTACAAAACTAACTTAAAAATTGAGCACTCGCAACTGGAACCTGCGGCTTGACCATGAATGGAGTAATATAGCGGCGTTCTTCTATTAAGTCTATAAATACAGTGAGCATGTTGAGCAATTCAATTGCTTATTATGTTTTCCAGCTGATCACCCCATATGCACCATTGCCTGACTAGCGTAGGGTATTACAAGCAGACAACACGTCAATGTACGCTTAAATAGCGGCAGACTGTGAGAGAGTGGGAGCGAGAGAGCGAAGCAGATGGAGAGAATGGCCAAAAGTGAGCTGACGGAGACAAACACGGAGCGTGCCATGCCCCCAGCTTACAAATATGCATATGTATATTCATCTATATGCATTTATTTGATTGTATATACATATGTATATACATATATTGTACATGCTGATTGAGCTAATGAGCAGAGTTGCCCAACGCACAGAAGAGGGCGCGAGCGAGCACGACGACAACATCGAGCATAACTGGAGAGATACTGTTCAAGTTATAAATATATACATACATAAACATGTATATACATATGTGTTTGATTAGCAAAAGCTGGAGCTGGATTTAAATTTAAAGACAACTGTTTTACTTATGACCCGCTGTTATCAGCCGCTATAAGCGGCGCGAAAATTAATTAATCTTTTAAGTAATCTTTACTGTACCAATTTTACTCAAGGGCGCGTACTTCTTCAAAGCTTTCCGGCATATACCAGTCGCCCATTTTATGTTTTTCATAGAAATAATAATTCAATGAATTTCTAACTTTGTTTTAATTTAATGAAAAAAAAAAAAAAAACCATACAAATGATGAGTTGTAAAGCATTCCTAGCATTTCAAAGTTGAATCGATTTTCGAGATCTATTTATGATATTTTTGATACTCGTGCGATTAACTCAAATATTAATACAAATATAGATAGACATGACCAGATTGAGCATATATATGTACATATATTATGTTTATAGACCTTATATATCATTACCGCCAGCTGATTCGAGTGGAGGCACGACTTCTATTTAACTTTTGATAACATCCATATTTAGAGATAGCGTACGTTCCCTATATGTATATGTAACTGTATGTATATAGTTACAGGCATACATTTCGTTTGGTTTTCTAACATACCTACATATGTATATATGAATGTGTTGCCCTCTCGGTTTGTCATTGCGACGACCTTTACTCGGCTTTCATACATACATACTTTTCACTGATATGAGCATGAATAACTCTCGATTTTAGCTTGTATGGAACTGATTACAAATAGTTCAAAAAAGACAGGCTAGTAAAAATAAATTAAATCACGCGCAACTTTGTTATGAAACTACATATATAAAATAAATATATGTATTTGAATATTATAATGTAGGGTACCTTGTCACTTTGACGTCACGAAAAAATAATGTATATTTGTTTTTTGGAATGAATATGAATTTTGGAAAGAAATATACAGCTGATCGATTCAATAGGTTGAAAACTTTAAGGGATAATAATTCCCTTTCTATACAATTGTAGTCATACAATTAATAGTAAAATTGTGAGACTGATCCTAGTTACTGGACAACAAATTTGAATGATAAATAAATATTTTAAAAAGACTTTAACATTAGATTATGTTTTGTAAACACAGCTGAAAAATTAGATACATGTAAGTTAAAAGTATATCGCTGTGTTCATGAAAATAGTTTTCATATATTTTGATCCTTATATATTTCTTTCCTTTCCTTTCCATTTCAGATAATTTTAATGATGTATATATACGGTTATATGACTTTAGAGGAGGAAAAGCTTCAACTGTTATCATCCCACTTAATCGTAGGCGGATGACTAGCTATTAGAATCTACTTACCTTAACGCCAAGCATATGGGGGTGTTCACTCCGGGAACTGGTTCTCTATGGTTGCTCATGCAATCACAGCTCAATTGAAAGTATTCAAAAAGTATTTCACTGTTTGAGCTGTCGAGTCGCAACAAAGTGTTTCCCTAAATGGCTTGCTAATAACCCGCAATTATTTTGCCATTGTTGAGAGCACTTCAACATATTCCACCCCCAGGAAGCAGGGCCACGTCTGTGGGCGTGCCCGTGACTTCAACCCTATGAAAATGTCAGAGTTTAACCTGATTAGTGCCTACATTTTGTTGTTGGCCGTCAATTGGATTTGATTACCCGTCGGAACTCGAGAAACTTTTTTTTTAATTTTTAATTTTTCACATGAGTTTTTATTGAAAGCGTTAAAACTAAGCCGTCTAGCACATAAATATACATCTACAAAGAGAGTTATATACTCTGAGAAAGTCAGAGTGAGAGAGAGAGAGAGCGATCTTAAATGGAAGTACTCGAATAAAATCACTAGCTGTATTTGGTGACACTTTAATATATATGTATATATATGGGTGTGTATGCATGTGTATAATTTTCTTAAATTTAACTGTGACTAGACTCGCGCTCAATTGGAAAATCCTTATTGTGGTTGCTATTTACAGAGTTTGATAAGTTGAAAGTTGTATAGACCCGATATGGTCTGTCTAATGTGCAAAAAATGCCCATACGCCGAAAATCCAGGGAAAGAGCCGAAAATAAATCCTTAATTTGGTAAGTAAAATACATAATGAAGAATCTTTAAAAAGAACAATTATATACAAATATATTAGGGTGAAGTATTGAACGAAGAAAAGCATAAATACAATAAGATAATTTCAAACTTTTGTGATCTGGTAATTTTTTGTATTTTGTAGCTATTAAAAGTTTTTATATATTTTTTCGTATCGAACAGGAACAAAAACGTTAAAAAATTCAACAAAAATGCCAGAAGAAATTATACAGGAGCTAAAATAATACAAAGTATTTTGTAAATATTCCTTTCTATGTGTTAGCTAATAAATGTGGTATTTTTTAAAGATTCTGGTATTTTTCGCACACGTTAAGTCTATGAATGGACAACTCTTTACACGCCTGCGTCCTATGTGAGCTGATAGAGCTTCGTGTCGCCCACAATATCCACATCGCTGGAATTATCATCATCCTCGCTGTCCGCCTCCAGGTCGGAGTAGTCATCCGTGGAGTAGCCATGCTGCAGGAAGCACATTTGCAGCTGCTGCTGACTTGATGACTGGCCCAACTTGGGCTTGGCATCCGTGGCTACTGCTGGGGGGCTGTGGGGCTCGCCCTGCTGCTTGCCGCCTGACTCGGTGCGTGAGAAGTCAACGGGTTCTGTGGGCCAGAAATTGCCAAAAATTTTACAACTAATTTGATTAGGGGCCAAATAAAACTTGAGGAAAAGTTTCGTCAAAAGGAGTTCCAGGCTAATTGGCCAAAGAAACTTCTAGAAAGGCCAAAAGTTGGTTCTAAGGCTGAGAAACCTCGACGTTGGCTTCTTCTTCTTCTTCACTCACCATTGGCAGTGTCGCGTCGTCGCAGCTGTTTCTTGTGCTTCATGCGGCGATTCTGGAACCAGGTCTTGACCTGCGTCTCGCTCAGTCCCAGAGCCGTGGCCAGCTCTACGCGCTCTGGCGTCGACAGATACCGTTGCGCCTCGAAGCGCTTCTCCAGGCCCGACAGCTGCGGGTCGCTGAAGACGGTGCGCGCCTTACGGCGCCGGCAGTGCCTCAGCGCATTCACGCCCATGCCCAGACCGAGGGCCAGCTCCGGCACACAGCCGGGCGCGCCGAAGAAGGGCGCTCCTCCAAACAGGCTGGCTGCAAGAGGTGGGTGGCACACATTAATTGCATTACACGCCGGCATAGAGCCCTTTGTGCCGGGCACAACTTTTGGGACATTCGGGTGTCGCTAATGGCCATCGACACGCACAGGAACAGCAGACATACCTTGGGACAGAAAGTAGGGATCCACCGACTTGTACGTGCCCGACGACGGCGACAGATAGCCCAGGGTCATCTGCAAGAAGCCATGATCGCCATACCCAGCGTTTGGATAAAGCACACTATTCGGGGCACTCGCTGCTGGCGGAGGCGGAGGCGGTGCTGGAGGTGCTGCAGTCGCCGCTGCCGCCGCTGCTGCTGCTGCTGCTGTCATCTGTTGCACACTTGGCTCTCCCGCTGGCCCCGAGTTCGAGTGGCCGTAGTGGCCGGCTGCTGACCTTTGGTGGTGTGCACTGCAGTTGTGAAACGTGAGTTAAGCGCTTAGAGCTCCAAGATTGTACATAAGAACATCGGAAATTGGGAATTTAAAATGTTAGACTATACTAGATTCCCAATCCCACACAATGATCTTTGAGCTAAGCTACAATCATATCTGAGAGTTGCAAACTATGATTCCTATTTTCGAATGTGTAGTATATCCATACAATGTAATATGTCATGCATATTAGACATATTATGTATCATAAAAATACTATAGTTTTTTCATTAGTTGGCCTAAATTACATGGACTGTAAAATATTCAATATTTATATATTAAATATTAAAATAAATAGTTTTTCTAAAAGTATGCTAATGCTAAAAAAAAAATATTTTATAAAGTTTATTATCTTACAAATGTAAAGCGTATGTTGCCTCAAATCAAAAAATATATATCTTGTATTATTATCGAATACGCATTACAACACATCAAGTATATGTTAAAACAGTCGTCTAAACGGGAAATCAAACTTTGAGACCCTTGAATATGAGTGGACCAAGAAGCAATACATAAAGAAAGATTCAAATCAAGTTTAAAATCATTAATTAAAGTCCATATTTGAATTGTCTATTATCTAAATTTTTCCAATATTTATTATGATTTGCAAATAAAAACTTTTATTCAATTCAGTTTGGTTGACATAGTTCAATATAATAAATTTGATTTTATGGAGCTTGTGATCATTCCCAACATCAAAACTATCGTGTATGGAGATATGAGAAGCAAACCGGAAACTTATCGCACTAAATATGATATGCAGAAAGAATTTTATATAAAAGACGTCACTATCGATCGCGGTAGCTCATTCATCGGAATGCAGCATTGGGTCTCCTAAATATAATACGTCGATCTCAGAAGATATACGAGCTAGAGATTTGAAATTTGAAATTTCCTAGGTCCGTGTATATCACGCGCCTTTTGCACTTTTCTCCAAAAATCGATAATACTCCGGTATTTTCTTATCGATCAAAAACCTTAACGAAAAATTTTATTTAATAATATCTCCTAGACCTTTAGAGTTTAGTGTCCAAATTTTAAATGTATATTTATATATATTTCAAGAATTTAGATTTTTGTTATATGTTACACCCCCGCCACAATATCCCCTCACTACTCCATAAAAGGCTTATTTCAAATGTAAGAACACTCGACAAGAGCTTTCTTACTTGTTTATATTTGAATCAGTAAAATTTTTCAAATTGACAATTTAACTTAAATCCCTTAATGAATGATAGCATGACCCTTATGGAAGGAATATATACATTTTATTTATAAATAATCAATGCAATCAACCTAATAAGTCTATGGCTGACTCCCTTTCAGAATGAAAATTGAAAACACCAAATAACTAACTCAAAACTAAATTCGTTGTCTGCAATGCAGCTATTTTAATAGACACTCTTTAATTTATAGAATCTTTCTCTCAAATATTTACGAAATTTTTATAATTGAATAAAATATTTCTTAAACATTCTATAAAGATTTCTTTCAAAATGATGTTCACCAAATTTCACAATTCATTTTTGGGCAACTCTTTCACGTGTATTTTAGGATAATCGCACACATACTGATTGATTGATTTGTGGGATGTGCACATATAATCTAAATTATTGACATCATTCACTCGAAAGTCCCTCAAGTAATATGTCAGGCATCCGTTGCACTTACCGTTGGCTGTGCATGGACTTGACGTAATCCTCGCTGGTATAAATCCCTGCCGAGTGCTGCGGACTGCTGGTGTGACGTGTCGAGGCCGTCGCGGCTGGATTTACAGGGTATCTGTTATTGTCATATGCACTTGCATTGGCATTGGCATTAGCATTAGCATTGGCACTGGCACTGCCACTTGATAGGGTATTTGATACGGCGGATATGGAGCTGGCGCTCGCATTGCTCCTGGCACTTTTCACTGAATATTTGTTGCACTTTTGATTGCTATTGTTGTTGTTGTTGTTGCTGTTGCTGTTGTTATTGTTGTTCAAGTTTTGAAATAATATGTGTTCGATGGAAAATGGCGTTTTTGTGGTTAGCATTGTGGTCGTTGTGGCAGAGCACTTGCTTGTGGCAACAGTTGCAGCTGCAGCAGCAGCTGCCGCTGCCGCAGTTGCAGTTGCTGTTGCCGTCGCCGTTGCAGCTGCAGCTGCAGTTGCAACTGGGCTGAGGCTGTTCTCATTTAGCGCTGACATCATGTCCTGCTCCTGCTCGAGTCCTGGCCGTCGCGCTTATGTTGTTTGCTCGTTGACGGTCGCGTTGAGTTTGCGGCAATCACCGCACATCAACCAGCAAATCGCTCTAAGCGATGTCCCGGTTTGAGCCACGGCACAGCAGCCCACCCCAAAAGCAGGCAATGCACTTGCGGTTCGCTGCTCAGGCACCCAAAAATACACACGCACACCCACACACACAGGCAGGCAGCGCTTCGCTGTGTGTGTGAACACACCCCCATTTGCATGTGTAGCTTATATGGTTGTCTCTCTCTCGCACAACAACGGCATTACGACCCAATGCAATTTAGCCATTTGCACCGCTTGATTTCGGCCCCACAATGCTGGCATTTTACCTATACAGATACATATGTTTATATATTTAAAAGGTATATGTATATATATACCTATATGAATATGTATATAAGTATTTATAAAACACAGCCAAAAATGACTTGGTTTACATTTCGTTATGTCATTTATGTGATACAAATTAGTTCATTTTAAAAATTTTTAAAAGAGCTGGAAATATTATATTTATATATATTGTATAAAGGTTTTTTTTTAAATCTATTTAATCTCAGAAAATAAAATATTTCTCTACAAGATCTGCATAAGCTTCTTTGAATTATGATTTACCAAATTCCTATTTGTCTGTTGTTGAAGTTTTAAAATTAAAAAGTATATACATATACATGTATATATCATTATATATAATTTATACTAATAATATATAAAAATGAACAATGAACAATGAACAATGACTATTGATTATAAAATATTGCTATAGAAGATTTAAAATGAAAAATTCAGTACTTAATCAGATAATTAAAAATAATTTATAAATTTATTTCGATTTCCATTTATTTCACTCATTGTTATAACCACAGATTTTTTTTGTGAATAATTTAAAAGTTTAGACTTATTTAAAAGTTTAGACTAAGAAATAAGCCCTTTCTACTTATATATCTATTTACAAATATGGCATATACAATTGCATTTATACATTTTTAAATAAATACCTACTAATTAAATGTAAAAATTTATTGACACCAAACAAAATTTATAAAATAAAAAACTCTTAGAATATATAAAAGTTAATATATTTTAACACTACCCTCATATTTGGCCAATTCTAATTATTTTTATTAAGATTCTTCACAGCATTATTTTGTTTTTTCCGTGTGCCTATAGTATTTACTAAGTTTAATTGGTTCATGTTAACCGCAAATAACTTGATCGCAGTTGTGGTCGGCGCTGACGCTGATGCTGACGGCAACTGCGACTGCGACTGTGACTGCTGCCGCCATTTTGCCCCCATAATTAACGTGTCATGGCCGCCATTGTGTTGTGCATGCATTAAATACATTAAATGCCACAATTATTGTAATTAAATTATTGACTGATGGCTGCCTAGAAAGACAGCCAGACAGCTGGATGGGGCGGGCGGACGTACGGGCAGAGCTTTTGTCTGGCTGGCGGTGCGTATGCGTAATGTGGGCCACAGCTGTTTGCATGCATGCACAACTGTACCACCATCATCCACTTGTATCTGTCTAACGTACCCATAATACGCATTAGCCTCAGCTGGCAGCTATACCTGCCTCCCTCTCACTCTCGCTGGCTGCCCCTCTCCCACGCCCACTCCCACTCACCGGACGACTGTCTCTAAGCTCTGGCAATTAGGCAAAAGACGTAAAGGAAAAAACTTGGCCGTAATTCGATCGTTTGGCATAGCTTTACGCAGCCCAACTCAGCCCGTCCTGACAGGCAGCCCATCAGCCGGCCAGCTCGCAGGGGGTGTGTCCTGGCATTCTGTTGCAACCAATCGGCGCGCTCTGAGCTTTGGGGTTGCCGTAGCGAGCAGCTATTTGTCCTTGTCGCACGCACAGCCAGCAGACGGCAACGGAAAGCTAGCTAAGACTTGGGTATGTAGGGGAAGGGGACCGCGAGCTAGCAAAGGATACTCTCTGTGTATATTGGCGTGTGTAGTTGTGTGTGTGTGCYTGAAGAGATGGCTGCGACCAAAAAGCAAGACAAATTTGCTCGTTTTATTAATAAAATAAGTCACGCAAAGTAAGTCGAACATCATTATTAGGTTAAAGCCCTAAAGCGGGCGCATTAGATGAACACACACACCCACAGAGAGATACACACTCATTCGTGTGTGTGTGTATGTGTATATATATGGAGTAGGGTCTGTGCAGGCAGCTACACTGACAGCGAGAAGGTGAAACAATGCAAATGTTCTTTAAAAACGACTTTATTGAAATAGAGGTAAAGCTGAATATATCAGATCAAATTAGAAATAAAATGTTTGGATGATTTTTCAGTTCTTCGCTGATTCATTAACACCTGCTTCTGACTTGATTGAAACTAAATTTTCTTAAAATTGCGTTGGTATGAAAATGGGCTTAGAAAAATAAAAATTGACAAGTATTAACAATTAATAAAAAATAAAATTATATTAAAAAAAGAAAAACAAAACAAAACAAATAAAACATAACAACTTAATAAAAACTATTAAATTATTTAAGCCGTTTTTAAAGCACTCATCAGATTCCTTTCAGTGTAAATGTAACATGCAATTAAGTCGCTTTAGCTGAAATCTCTGGCATTATTTCTCAGGTATAGGTAGCTTCCACTGCGATAGCAAATGGGGCTGGGCGTGGCTGGGCCGTAAGCTGTCTGTTGCCGAGGTCCTTAGTAACTGACACAAGCTGATTGTTGCGAGCACTTAAACTGCGCCCCGGAACTGACAACTTCAGCGGGTCGGAGCCATTGTTTTCTTTTATTGTTTTTTCTTCATTTGACATGAACGTGCGGAAGAGCCTGAGGCATGTGCTAAATATATAGAGTGAGAGGGACAGAAATAGAAATAAAGCGAGAGCTATTATTATTAATGAAAGGGCGGTGTGGGAACATTTTGCTTAACTTCATTTGAATCGGTGGGCGATGCACGTGCCCATCAAACGTGCTAAGCCTAATTTTTATAATAATAAAAATCTGGCATCGAATTGCAAATGCGTCTTGCGGTTAACAGCGAGGGAAGGAGATAGTGAGAGAGAGAGGGAGAGACGGGGTGCTGCTCTTTCCACGGGCAATTACAACATTTTGTGTCAGTTTGCATGGCAAATCCTTTTGTGATGCGACGTCTTCTCATTGTTTTTTTTAGCATAATTCCCTGAAATCAAGGTTGGAGTGTGTCAAAGATCAGGTTACGAGCGGCGGCCTTCTCAGATGCCGCTCGGTTGCTGCATCCGCATTTGAGTTTTGATTCTCGGTAAATTAACTTCTGAAACGAGCAACAGAAACCTTCCGATTTGGCTCAGTTAGCTAGGGGTACTTTGTTTATGCGAGTGCCGCAAAAAGGGTCTCGCCTCAAGTGCCAACATCCTTTGGGGTCAAAGGCGGCGGTTCCTTTATGATAAAAAACCCAAACAGGGCATGTTTAAGAGTCTTCAGATAGTATATTGATTTGCTTACATCTTTCTCGATCCTAAATATACATCGAACTATCCACTATATTCAAAACAAATTGTTTGATAAATCATTCTATTTGATTGGGAATATCAGTTTCAGCTATTTCCTATATACTTTTAAGCCCTTTTTATACACACTTTATATTGATATTTTATATTCTAGTAGATACATATGTACATAAGTATCTAGATGTATGTTTCTCACACGCCTTTTGCTGAAGGCTAATAATATTGTTTGTCAATAAGTAAGAAGAAATAGAGATTAGAAACAATAAGTAGATTTTCAAATTTCTTAATGATGCCCCTAATGTTGTCTTTACGTTGGTCCAAACCAATTATTACTCCAAATTACCTCATATCCGGATACAAATTTTTTTATTCTTTGTAACTAATTATTACATATATTTAAAGGTTCCATGAATATGTGAAATACAATTCTAAAATTTTCGGACTTTCCTTACCTCTGGTAACTGAGCAATCATAACGATGAATAAACAGATCAGAAAATGGACGATAGATATATAATAATGTAATACTATTATAACTTGTAAAGGTAGTATATCCCTTATATATATATATGAATGTATAATAAGATATACTATATTTATAATTGTAATTGTAATTATAGTACAATATCAATGTAAAATCATTTTATCATTTATCATTAAAATATAAACATTAATTATGAACTATTAACAAATTAGATCATATTCGCGGATCCATGGTTCACGTAGATTTAATTCATCTCGAACAGTCTAATTAAAGGTCGATTCACTTCATGAATAATGGCTATAATTATATTATACAAGGAGACAGGTTCACGGTCATAAATTTCACATAGTCCTAATTGTAGGCTCTCTCGGAGCAGAGGATTCGGGTGGGTCCATTGGCCCGCCCACGTTTGCGAAGGTTCTATCCACGTTCCGAGGCACTTTTCAGTGGCAGTGCTTGGCCTGCCAACCGGGTTATGCTTATTAAAAGCCTCTTGTTGTTATCCTAGGCATAGAGTAACCTTTCGCCCGCCCAAACAATTAGAGCGCTAACAAATGCAATTACTCCTCACAAAGCCGTTGCCCTATCGCCCGCCCTCCCTTCTGCCTGCTCCCTCCGTGCTTCAGTGCCTGCCTCCACGGTCCTCTCTCGGCAGCAACACAATTGCTCTCATTGGCAACAATTGAGCCGCAGAGCATATCCTGCTCGTCCTGCCAGCAAAAAAAAAAAGAAAAGTTTACCAAACGCGTGCCACATATTAAATTACATCGAAATATGTGCACACGAGGCTGGGTCCGGGTCCGGGTCCGGGTGAGCACCCCGACGACCGGGAGAGAGGGGTGGGCGGGGCAGTTTGTAATTTGCTGGCATTTTCTAAATGATTTTATCAGCAGCCTGAACACACACACACTTATAGATACATACATATATATTTTGTTATTTTGATACATTTGTTTGATTTGCAGCTATTTATTGCTATGATTTAATTTGCCGCGGATAATTGTCATAAAATTAGATTTACAAAAATGTTTCCGACTGTCAAATGAAAGGGGTTCGCGAACAGAAGGGCGGCACCGACTAAAGTGGGCGGAACCCATGGCATTTATTCAACATGTTTCCTAGTTAAATGTAACCTAGAC